AAGCGTTTTGGGGGGAGTCGTGGAGTCTACAAAAGTCGTTCAGAATTTGGCTCATCAATAATTATATCTGCTTATCAATGTATGCATAGTTGGATAGGGTTCTTGCTTTTGTGTAATAACCACTGTACCAGGGGTGTGTAACAGAGATGCAGAAACAGTGGCCGGCCATTGATGAGTGTCAAAAAATAGTAATATTTGTTGTCCACAGACTCATTGATGATTGTTTCAAGCAAAGACTTATCAGTAAAAGTCAAATGCAGTTCACCTAAATTGACTGCTCCTTTTGTTATGTGAAAAAAAAAATCTGTTTTTTTTTTTCAAATTCTTTCTCATTTTTGGATGAATTTATATTATTATATTAACTGTCTTGTATTTTCAAGCTCTTAAAAGCGCAGACAGAGACCAGAGACCAAATAGCCTAGCCTAGTAAACCAGCCCCACCCCCCAGCGGCCAAAATCATTTTTGCCTGCTACAAATAGCCTAATAATTTTTAGCCCCTTTTTATTTTTTGTGCAGAATCACAAAATTGACTCATGGGGCTACCGTTCCTTTATTTCTGGGGATAGATGTACACATTGAAACTTGCAAGACACTACTCTAGGTCAATATATTTATCAATAAATGTGGAATATGGCCGTGTTTTTATGCGGTTCCATCTGTATTTTACCTTTTTTCTGGTTTATGTTTGTTTTTATTGTTTTTCTCCATCTCAACTGGGATTTTACATAATTTAGTACGATTGGGCTTTCCATTTCCATGAAAACCCAAGCTCTATCTAATCCAGTGCCTATTACTGACAGATCATTTTGGTATGAAGAGGTTAATCTTTTATGCATCAGGTTTGCTCTGCTGTAGATTTTTTTTTGCAATTTTACGCTTTTCTGCAATGACCTGCTGCAAATATATAAGACTTATGGCACTGGATTTGACCCCTATCTTTGACAGTGTTGACCTTGAATTTTTTTCTTTTTTTGCTTTGACCAGGATATAATGGTTTTAGCTCTCAATTAGCTTAGGTTCCAGAGGTTAGAAGTTTTTATTTTTTCGCATTACTGGTTTGATCTCTAACTCTGAAGGTTTAACACAAGGTTCTATTTTTACATGTACTGGTTTTTACTTCAACGTCATCCTCTAACCCCTACATTTAAGCAACATTTACTTTCATTTTACTCATATGCATGCAGGGTTTGTCTTATGCTGTAGCATATCAGTGGGTGCTCTGCCCAGATGCTCTTGCATTGCCCTGTTGGCAAAATTATTTCACTAAAATTGCAGCATCTATACTGCCACAAATTCTCCAGCCCATGAACCATTATCTATATCATTACTCTTTTTATAGCCCTGGTTATCAAATCACAATATAGGACTTGTGACAAAGCAGGCAAAGACATGCTCATTTCGGTTGGAGATCAAGAGTTTGAGCTGTGTGTTTGTTTGTGTTTTGTTGTTGCTTATTATCTGATTAATAAGCTGTTGTAAAAGGATTACTGTAAGATTTGTTGGATAACATTTCCTGTGATGCTGTTGAATTTTTCTTACTGATAGTAAAGGGCAGCAAACACCTGCTTGGCTCATATTTTCACTGCTCCAGGCAGTTACAGGTTGTTTTACAGATCTGAGTCACCATTACAAATAAAGCTGGCTTGAAAATCATATCTTGAATATTTTCATACTAAATTTGATTCATGCATGTTTTCCTTACCTTTCATTTAATTAAAAACAAAATAAAAAAGGACAATTACATTAAAAAACTTAATTTATTTGGCTTTGATTATAACCCTCTATTCTGGGAGTTACCCTGAATGTAAAGCGCAACTAAATACAAGCAGTGAAACATGCTTGTAAAACCAGCTGGCAGGCTCTGACAAACAAAGAAAACATAACACTAAATGTTTGCAGCTATTGGTGTTACACAATGAGCTAGTATGTTCTAAGTAAACATCATAGAACAAAAAGTGATGGGATGACATTATGCTAGACAACAGAAGTACAAGAAGCACATGACTGAGAACAATATCTTGATTTTCCAAAAAATAAATCTTTATAAACATAAAGTTTGATGAATTAACTAAGTGAGAGTGTTCCAGTTTACTTTACAACAATAATGTAAGTGAGATTCAATACAATTACAGCACTTCCTGATTGAGGTTATGATCATGTGCTGTTAATTGACTAAAGAAATCACCAAGATGAGAGATCTGGATTATGCTTGCTTATTAAAAAGGAGAGGAAGAGTTTTTGAAATTCTTGGATTGAGGGAAGAAATGTGATTTCATTGACTCAAAGGATAAAAGAAACATGTGCACCACTGCCTTTAAAAGAATTGGATGAGCAGCTCCCACACTTAAGCCATTGTTTTGGCACCTATATTTTTCCAAAACATCAACTTCGTCGTTCTTAAGTCTCCTTGTATTTGACAGGGTAGTGTGCAAGATAAACTTTGTGGTTGTTAGGATTATTTTTATGATTCATGAATGTACTTGTCAAACCCTCATAATACCTGCCTGGTACATGTTAAGGCTCATGTTTTCCCAAAGCTCGGCAGTTCACAGTTCCTGCAAATGTTGAACTCGACTCTATCTCCACTGTCCAAAGCATTCAGGCATAGTCCATTGAAAATGTTCTACATGAAAGGGGTTCAGATGTAGAATGAAAAACTGTTTTAACATCCCCAGAACCAGTCAGTTGTACATTTTTGGCTCATCAGGAAGCCTGATCAGATCCAAAAATGTGCAGGAAACATAATTTATATGTGTTTTATATAATGATCCATTTAGCAAAGTCTGCAATTTGGTATTGATTACGACTCCAGGTAAAGTAAATTCAGGTGTTCTCATTAACTTCCTGCATCTTTTGTGTGATTACCCATCCCCATGACTGAAATATTTAGCTTCTGTAGGGATAATTTTAAATCAGCTTGCAGTTAAAAATGGTGAAGTTTTAGATCCTGTACCGTGATATTGACGTGCAATAAGTCCAATCAACTAATTTACTGATAGATGAACATCAGTTAATATTGTCGAGGGCCAAGTATCATTTATCAGTAGTATTGTTTACCTGAAATGATGTGACTTTTATTTCAAACAATTACCCGTGTCCTTATTGCTTCTAAAATTTGTATAAGAAAGCTTTATGTTCACACCTTTAAGCTTTCTCTCCAAGATTTTTTCCTCAGAAGAGATCACTTGGGACAGACACTTTGAATAACACTTCATGTTGTCTACATATTAAATAACATGACAGTTTTTAAAGAAATTGCAATCTTACTCAGATCAGAGAAATGGCTCATGTTCATTATAGCCATGCTTACCACCTGGATCGCTTCTTCAGAAAGACGGCCCCAAATACCAGTTAAAGAAACCTTTTATACAAACAGCCTGTTACATTTTTAGATGATTACATCATACACATGTTTGTAAAATGAGGAGACATCACTGGCCTCAGCCATATCACAATAATACAGTGTTCCGGATCAAGGACACTCTGAATGCACAGTGACAGAGTTCTCTGATAGTATAACCCACTCTGTCCATATACTTAACATGTAACAGGCAGGTATTATTAGGGTTTAACAAGCACATACATGAATCATAAAAATAATTCTAACATGATTTGTGTCTTAACATATTGCTTCAGTATTTTCACATAATTTTTCTTTCTTGTTATATCCTCTTTTTATTCTCTCCAGTTTTAAAACACTTCCACAACATGATGCAACCATCCCCATACCCTACAATTAAGGACAGTGTTCTCAGGCATAACTTAAGTAGATCACCATACTGTCTTTAGGGAATTTACTGCAATCTGTTTTTTATGTTGCTTTGAAATAATCGCTTCTTTTTTTTATTTTTATTTTTTATTTTATGCATTTGGCTGTTGTCTCCTCAGTAAAGGCCACTAATAGGGATGACAGGGTTGAAATAGATATCAGACACAGCAGAAAGTGCAGAAATTGTGAAGTAGAAGGGGTTCCTTGATGGTAGATTGGGATTTACCAGTTCTAGCAGCCATCAGCATGTTGCTTCACCATCATGAATCAAGCATGCAATGAATCTGGGCTTTCTTGAATTGGTGTTGGTTGCTAGCCAGCAATCCCTTGACTGGATTGAATGAGTCGTGACATAAGCCTTTGAGAGCTTTCAGGTAGATGGGAGCTGTTCCTTTAGGCACTCTATAGGCTCTCAGCGATGACTTGAATTTTATGCAGACAGCTAAAGGTGGACCCTGGAGCTGAACTAATAAGGGATTGACAAGAGACACCGATTTTATGTAAATATCTTCTGTTTTGTAGGCGATTTTACACAGTTTTATAAGTGTAGCTGAAATTAGAAATTAGTGACCATTGTGATGTTGTTTCATGGATGTGCTGCAAATGCTAGGTGATGTTGCGGCTCCAAAGTTGAAATGTTTTGCAGTTGTAAGTTAGTCAGGGGCCTTCGCTTTCTGTTTTTAATTCTTGGTTAAAGATGATATTTAACTGTTTTACTAAGTTTGCTTTCTTGTAGTTTCTTTTTTATTTATGTCTAA